TAATTTTTAAAACCCTTGAATAAAGTGAAATTAAATAAATATACTTAAAAGATCAAAAAATTTTGAAAACCTGTCGAATCAAGCCCTTAAAAACTTGCTTGATTGTCTAAATAATTCAAGGATTTCAGTGGACGTAAAATGATTTGTTTAAAAAAAGCGATTATTCTTAATTAGCTTTGAAAATTTTAACTGATGCTATAAGCAATAGCTAAGCAAAATTTTGCATTAAAAGAATTTACTATAGCAAGATATATAATTTGTTTCCTTAAAGTTTATAACCCATAAAATCTTATTACCGTTATAAAAACAAATTTATTTTCTGTAATCCCCATTTTTATTCAAAAATACAAGGAAAGTGATACGGAAATACAAGAAATCTTAATCGCTTCAAATAATTAGGAAGAAATTAACACAGGTAGCAAATATATTTTGAGAAACACAAGAGAAAAACTTAATTAATTACAAATACATTATTGTCTATTTACTTTGGTACAAATAATTAGGAAGAAAATTAACACAGGTAACAAATATATTTCGAGAAACAAAAGAGAAAAACTTAATTAATTACAAATACATTATTGTCTATTTACTTTGGTACAAATAATTAGGAAGAAGATTAACACAGGTAACAAATATATTTTGAGAAACAAAAGAGAAAAACTTAATTAATTACAAATGTCTTATTGTCTATTTACTTTGGTTCTCGAACCTATTTCTCACAGGCCCTGAAAACGTTCAGAAACATGTTTTTAACATTATTACAGCATTGTTACAAATATTGCACGCCAGTAATTGAATTTATTATTTTTGCACATAAAAACATCGACTTGAAAAGGTCCTCTAGTTATTCGACGATTTCGATGGCACTGGCATATTTTGGATGTCAAGGTTAGGCTATCCGGAGAAAACAGTCTGATAAAAAATACCGTAATGTATGGTTAGGACAATTTTGGTAAAAAAAAAATTTAAAAAAAACATAACTCTAATTAATAAAAGCAAAATATATGATATTAAAACGATTCATTTCATCCCTGGAAATCGAACCCGGATCACCTCAATATTAGTCACCACTTTAATAACATAAAAAGGAATATGAATACAGTAAAAAATATTAGGGCACGTTTTAACTAGGAGGGTCTGCCCCCTACTCGCTAACGTTTGCCAACCTCCGGAACTGTTCCTTTCAGATTGCTTTGCAATCAGGGATTAATATTATCCGAACTTGCTTAGCCCGCTCATTAGATACGTTTCTTCCGACTAGCTTTGTATTCTTTTTTAAAGTTTAAAATAACTAGTCCATAAAACTTTTCTCTGTACGAAGTCATAAAAAGATATTTCGTTTCTCGGTAAAAAAAAATTCTAAATGCATTCATTTCTATATTAATTTGAAATTGCAAAAAGTTAACAGATTTTTCTTAAGTACACAATTCTAAATTTCAGTTCTCAAAAGTACAATAGTTATAGGTACTTTATTTCCTCTCAAAGTTGTAAAATGTAAAAGAACAAATAAAAGAGTAATAAAAATTAGTATTGCCTTAAAAAGGTTAAAATTAAAGCAATATTTGGTACATATAGTAAAATTTTACGATGAATTCAATGTTAAGTCCTCAAGTCCTTGTTGTAATCGAGTTAAAATTGTATAATGTAAAAAATGTAACTTAAAAAAGGGTCATAGTATTAAAGTGAAAATTAGGATAGTTTTGTACAGTATGATTTTTGTACAATGCCTGAAAAATAGCATTCGCATTGCATACGTGAGTGCGAAAAAATTGCACCAAACGCATTTTTAAAAGTGAGTCGCAGCTCTTCATTGCTACCAAGTCATGTAAAATGTAAGACAATGAAATTCGAAGAACTTTTCTGCTTTCCCTTATGCTTATGCCAACACGCATCGAATAAACAAAGCAGAGTTAATTTATATATAAATCATGCGTATAAAAAATAGTATATGCATGAAAAAATAAAGTCTTATGAATTAGTATACTATTACTAAATATTTCACCCAACTTGTTAGAACATTCCAACCGGACAAATTGCATTCAAAACAATTGAAAAATAATCAACTGAATAAAAAAATTTACTTTCCCATAAATCTGAAAAAGGAAAATATATTTAGAAAAATTAGCTATTCAGACTTATAACATCATATTGTTAATGATGAAATTTCAATTATGAAACCTTTAAAAGTGGATACATGAACAAAAAATTTCAGACAAATCTCAATCAATTGTAGTTACGCTACTATCAAATAAGAAGTCGGTTTTGTTTAATTAATTTCGTAATTCAAACCGAAGCTATGATAGACTTTTGAATAAAAAGAAATTAAATTTTCCCCATTATGTACTGTCTTAAGTTTATCACCCAAGAAAAAAATTTCATAAGTCTTTAAAATTTACCTTCAAATAATATATTGCTCAATAATTTGTCTGAAATGAACAATTGTTGTCTGAAGTAACATTAATAACAAGTTGTAACCAAAACATCGTAAAATAACTCGATTAAAGTTTGCTTAACTTATTTCATTTATTTCAAGCAGGGTTATTAAAAAATATTAATGCTTAGCATCTATAAAAAGTATTAACGCTTAACATATACTTTCTGAGCAATAAATTAAGTAACATTTCCTTTTTAGTAGCTTAATGATTAATGTATATTTTCATATTCAGTAAAAGCTTTCACGGCTCTGCGCATGCTCCAGGTCTCCTTTCGTTTCGTCAAAATAAAGGGAAGGGGCATGACACACAGGGGGGGAAATATCTGATGCCATTACTGTACTATATAATAATGGCATTTCTGGTTTAAAAAAATGTAATTTTATTTATAAAACCAAAATATACGGTATTTAAACCATTCATTTGATAACATTACCGTTCATATGGTAACGGTTAAACGGAAATTCTGATTTACAAAATTAGAGTTCTTATTACCATTATACATTTAGTAAAAAATAACAAAACTGAGAAGTAAATTTAACTTAATAAATTAATTTTATGCCATGCTCTAAAGCATCAGGAAAATATTATAAAATTTTACGACATTTTCTAATTATATTACAGATTATAAGACTCATTTATTTTTTATTTTACCGAAGTAATTATAAAGCGCTTCGGTGACAATTATCACCCTTTTTAGTGCTCTTAAACATGGTAAATTTTACCATATTCTGGTAGTTTTGACCATATTTTTTTCTTATCTCAGTGTGACATTTTTATAGAAAATTTTATTTTCATAAAGATTCTATTTTTTATTTTAGATCAGCGATTCGGAAACAGATTTTTTTATGGTATTAGTGGAGTATAACTTGTACTTTGCAATGCGTCACATATTAGCATACTTAAAACTTCTAAAAGCATACCCATCTGGCTGTAGAATCATCTTAGAGTGGTAGTTCTTGCTTTGGAAAATGTACAGCTCCATAAATTTAGATTTAATGCAACAATTTATGTAGTGTATGTATTTTAAAAAAATTTCCCCATTTTAAAATTTCATTGAAAACAAAATTTAAAAATCATAAATGATAAAATTTTATTAAAAACTATACGCGTTTCAGTGGTACATTAGTACAACCTATTAGAATTTCGATTTAAAAATTACGGGGAAATAAACGGCATTATTTCTTATGAATAGTTATTGCATGATTTAAAAATTTGCTTTTGTTTACATTCAAATATGAATAAAATATCTATTTTTATATTACGTTGTATTTGATACACTCAATGGAACAAAATTTATTTATACGATAAAATGCCGTAATGTTAAATGTACCTTCGATGGTGGACTACACCGATGGTAATTAAGTGGACTACACAGATCATCAAATTTTCTGCAACCTTAATATCGTGCCATAAGTTGAACCATATATCCGTGCTTAATAAACTTATTTATAAGTCACTATGGTTCAAATGAAATAGAAACACAATTAAGATTTAAAAAACAAATGATTCAATAGAACACTTTAATAACGCATTAAGCTTTCTCGACATTATGGATTATGTACACAGATCATCAAATTTTCTGCAACCTTAATATCGTGCCATAAGTTGAACCACGTATCCGTGCTTAATAAACTTATTTATAAGTCACTATGGTTCAATTGAAATAGAAACACAATTAAGATTTAAAAAACAAATGATTCAACAAAACACTTTAATAATGCATTAAGCTTTCTCGACATTATGGATTATGTGTAAAAATTATAGTTAAGCATTTAACCAATGTTTCCAAGAGTTTACTCCTAAGGAACTTATTTGGTACTTTGTGAAAGGATTCAAAGTACCAAAAAAAAATTCAACGTTAAACTGGTTATTTCAAGAGTGCACTATCAAGGAGTTTTGTTTGGCATTTTGGGAACAGTTCAAGGTACCAAAAACGAAGTACCGACTATTCCGAGAGTGTGTAAGCAGAGGTATTATTTAGCATCTTTTGAAAGAGTTATTTTAATTCAAAGTACCACAAATTATTCAACAATCAGTTCTGTTTTGAACTGAATTTTCCGACAGCGTACTACATCCAAATAGCCTTTGGCATTTTTTGAAAGTGTCCGATAAACGTTACGGAATATTTATGAAAACTGAATTAATATCTATAAGATTATTGTTATCTGTGGAACTAGTGCTTAAAACCAATTGTTGTCAGATTTTTCTCATTTCTTTTTTGGTTAATGGAGAATGCGATTTGGTAAAGGGCATCAAAAATCAACAAAAACTGGAGAAAAAAAGTTGAAAAAACAAAAGTTGAGGAAAACATTTACATAGAAATCGAAACAGGCAAGAGGCTTCTCTAATCACGTGTTGGACATTAATGATCTTCCATAGAATTCGAAAAATACCGGCAATCAGTAATTTTATTACTGAAAAAAGTTATAATCATTTGAATGGTATGAATTAACTAAAAAATTGCAACGAACTGTTTAATTTGATACTTCTTATTATGTGTCTTATTTTAAAAGCAACTAATGAAGATTTATTATTTTTAATCTCAACATTTTCTCTTATTTTCAGGGAGTTCTTGCAGAAGAAACGGAAAACAACAATCCAAAATGGACGGTGAGCGAGATGGAAAAATTCATGAGGGAGCAGAGCGAATCAAGCGTCAGTCTTGGACTCATCTCGCAACCGTCCCTGATAACCAGCGACAGGTCCAAACATGGCAAAAACAACATCCCAGATATTTCTCAAATCGGAGAGATGATGGAGATAGTAGCATCCGAGAGCAGTCCATCTTGGGCATCCAGCAGCACTGGAAACACTCCGTCCTTTGGCAGTGGGGGGAATACATTCGAATTCAACAGCAAGGTGGAAGACAGAAACACCCCTGTGATCACCACGACTAAGTGCACCCCACACTCCACCCCAGAAAATAGAGGGAATCGAATAAACTCGGAAGATTTGACACTGACTGCAACGACGGATCTTCTGGATGCTTTGGATCATGGACTAGAATTATCTCTTTCCAAGCCAAGGAAATCTAGAAAAGATTCATCGAGTAGTGACAAAGGTCCAAGTAATTCTGGATCACATGGTGGAACACCCATCAAAACCAGTAAATTGAGTAAATTGCTAAGAAGGACTCATAGTGCTGGTGGTCCAAAAGATGTTTCAAGCCAGTCGCACTATTCAAAAAACAAAACAGTAAGTTTGTTTTTTTATTATTATTTTTTCATTGCTATTATAACCTTAAAACAAATAGGAAATTTTTGTACCTATCAATTTAATGCATGACTGCTTTAATGTAGAATGCAGAAATATATGCAAACTTACCACCCTGAATAACTTTAGACTATGACTCAATCTTAACTCAGACGTTCTAAGACTAAATCTAAATCTCACGTTCTAAGATAGGGATGGTCAAACTTCTTTGGTCAAGGACAAAAAATCGAGAGAGAAAATATTTGGTGGGCTAAGTACTAAAAAGATATGCAAGTTTTAATTTAAATATTTAATGATATGAATAAAATTGTGATTTCATTTTTAAAAGCTCCATATAGTGAGGTTCCAAGTGAGATGTACTTATTTTAAGGAACGAGGCTAAATGTTTGTTGGTTAGTCTACTTCTGAAATGCTTCTTTCTAAGGTTCCTAGTTGAAAACACTTCTTTACATATATAAGATAAAGCAAACATAGCACTGATTTTCTGGGCAAGAAATATTAAATTTGGGAACTAGCTTTTGGTAAGGATTTGTAAAACTCAAACTTTGGCTTACTTAGAAACAGCTGCTTCAGATGGCTATTCTATAAAGAACTTCTGCTTTCAACATTTTACTAATTGAAGCTGTCTGTGCCAGCTATTTCCATCAATTTATGTTTTGTATACCAAAAATAAAGAAAGTAAAAAGGTCATCAGTACTTTGTTAAAAAAGAAAGAGCAAAAGTGGCATTAAACAAAGTAGACAAGAAAATAGATGTATATTGTTTATATTCGCCACGGATTGGCAAGTTAAAATTCTATCAGCAGGTGGGATGAAACCTTCCGGCGGCCACAGTTGGCCCGCGGGCCGTAGTTTGCATGTCCCTGTTCTAAGACTTAATCTATCAAGTGATATAATAATCTGCATATATTGAATGAAAATATTATTTAATCCTTGAGTTTTTTACCATCCTTATTGCCTTAACTGTGCAGTTTAAATTTTTTGTGAAGCAGAACAATTTAAAAAGTTTTAATTTTTATCAAACTGCACAATTTGATGAATTTTAATTTTCAACCAACTCTAATGTTAAGTAACTTCAATTTCTTTCAAACCACACAATTAAAGTGGGTTTTCTTTTCTTTCTACTCCAGTTTATTGTTAAATTGTTATATTAGTTTCCGTCATGGTAACTTTCCTTCAAATTAATAACAGCCTGTATCAGCATTATTTGTCTGCCTGTGACAATTGAATGAATCATTGAATTAAACAACTGAATGAATAAACAAACAAATCAAACAAGAATATAGTGTAACAATTAATATCATGTGATGCATATCTCGTTGCAAACAAATTAATATGTTGTTACTACAACTGAGTTTTTCTACCGTATTTACTTACGAGTTAATAATAGTCTTTTTATATTTTGTATGATACTCAGAGACAATTGAATGATTGCCTCCGAGTGGCTTCCAGCTCAATACAGCCACAACATCCTGTGATACAGAGACTTGTCTGACATAATTGGCGCGAGAATTGTAACCTTCTCCATCTAACTTCCCCGCTGACTTCAATGCCTTTCAACCATTAAAATATACCATTCCATCAATCCTACATTCGAATGTTCCATTTCCTGTATTAAACCAGGCTATCAGTTTTAATGTCTGTATACCTCTTGTTCTAAATGAGGTGCTTTGTTAGTATTTGTTTCATAGCTAATTCTTATACAAAAGTAGTATTCATATTTAATGTTACATTGCCAAGTATTCCATGACAATATTCTGGGGAGATATTTTTTATTCAATTATTATTAATTTTAACCAGTAAAAACAAAAATTAGTTTTATCACAAATACTTTGCGTGAAAGATTTAATTTTTTCTTTTTCAAATATATGATGAGTTTTCAAATCCGAAATCTATTACATATTTTCATTCTCTTTCAATGTAATTCTTGACATTTTTCATTTTATAGAGAGTTTATGAAACTTTTTCCGGAAGCTAAACATTTTCCTTTAGCTTGAAAGTAATTTTCAAATCAACTTCTGACAGTTTCTTAATTAAGTAATCGGATTTAATCCCTTTTAACATTTAGTTTCCGTTCCCACCCCTAAATTTTTGCTCACAATTGTACTTAGTTTATTAATAAATAATAATTAATTAATTAGTTAATTTAATAATAATTAATTATGTTATTCAATTATTATTAACAAAATAATTTGCTAATAGCTAATAATTCATTTAATAATATAAATAAAAAATAACTGCTAATAAATATTTAAATTATAGTATTAATGAAAATTGTTATAATTCATCAATTTAGTAAAAGCGCATTTGCATTACATGGAACATATTTCATGGTTAGCCCAATGGCAAAGGTACAAACTTCTAACAATTTCTTAATTAAGTAATCGGTTTTAATCTCTTTTAACATTCAGTTTCCGCTCCCACCCCTAAAACTTTGCTCACAATTGTACTTTGTTTATTAATAAATAATAATTAATTAGTTAGTTAATTTAATAATAATTAATTAATTAGTTAATTTAATAATAATTAATTAATTAGTTAATTTAATAATAATTAATTGATTAGTTAATTTAATAATAATTAACTAATTAGTTAATTTAATAATACTTATGTTATTTAATTATAATTAGCAACATAATTTGCTAATAACTAATAATTCATTTAATAATATAAATAAAAAATAGCTGCTAATAAATATTTAAATTATAGTATTAATGAAAATTGTTATAATTAATCAATTTAGTAAAAGCGCATTTGCATTACATGGAACATATTTCATGGTTAGCCCAATGGCAAAGGTACAAACTTCTAACAATTTCTTAATTAAGTAATCGGATTTAATTCCTTTTAACATTTAGTTTCCGCTCCCACCCCTAAAACTTTGCTCACAATTGTACTTTGTTTATTAATAAATAATAATTAATTAATTAGTTAATTTAATAATAATTAATTATGTTATTTAATTATAATTAACAACATAATTTGCTAATAACTAATAATTCATTTAATAATATAAATGAAAAATAGCTGCTAATAAATATTTAAATTATAGTATTTATGAAAATTGTTATAATTAATCAATTTAGTAAAAGCACATTTGCATTACATGGAACATATTTCATGGTTAGCCCAATGGCAAAGGTGCAAACTTCTAACAATTTCTTAATTAAGTAATCGGATTTAATCCCTTTTAACATTTAGTTTCCGCTCCCACCCCTAAAACTTTGCTCACAATTGTACTTAGTTTATTAATAAATAATAATTAATTAATTAACTAATTTAATAATAATTAATTATATTATTTAATTATAATTAACAACATAATTTGCTAATAACTAATAATTCGTTATTTAATAATATAAATAAAAAATAGCTGATGATATATATTTAAATTACAGTATTAATAAAAAAATTTATAATTAATCAATTTAGTAAAAACGCATTTGCATTACATGGAACATATTTTATGGTTAGCCCAATGGCAAAGGTATTTGAATCCATAATCCATCTAGAATTCTAAAAATATATATTAAGGGTGTTCATTACGAACATTCTATATAAACTTTAGAAAGAAAAGCATTCCCGCAACTGCCTGTTGTGAGCAATGGGGCTTATGAAAGTTTAATTTTCCACAATTTCATGATAAACGGCATTATGGTTGCAATGTATTCAGCATTGCTCACACGCCGCCTTTACTTCCTAACGAGCTGGTACCCATCGCTCTGAAGCTGGGTCTGAAGTTCAAAGAGCCACTAGGGATCCAACCCAGTCCATCACGATAAGAATTTCCTGCCTTAACCACTGAACCATCAGTCTACTAGAATTCTATATTATATGTTATAACTCTATATTGTAACTCTGTATTATATGTTAAATCGTAAATCATAAATTTTGCATTAATTTCATTTGCTTTCATTTTTTATGCAGAGTTTTACTTTCTGAATTTAGTTTTTAAAGTTTCATCAGAAAAAAATAATAAGTTATAAATTCGACGTTTTAATTATACCCGATTTATTGTAAACGAATATAGGTGATCTAAATTCCTAACTATTCCATAGTCAGTTATATAAGGAAATAAATCCATAACAGCAATATCCTAACCATTCAGTATCTTTACTATCACTCTATGCAAATATGGTTTGAAATTATGAATCACAGAAAGTTATTTACCTGGCTGTTTGCCGCAAAAGTAAATATTTATGTTCTTAGTTTAATTCGCCTGTGAATATTAACGCAGGTGTTATTATTAACATTTGTCTATAATAGGTACCACATTTCCGTCTATATGTATCGTTGCCAAGTAGACAGAAACCAGCTTCCATTGTCGATAAAATTAATGAACAAATATTAAATCTTTTGATATAACCACAAGCAGAATATGCATGTTATTATACTAATCTCGTTACACAAATCTAGATTCACTTCTTTTTAAGAATAATTTTCATAAATATGGATTTAGCTATATATTTTATCTATCGATGACTAATAAATACAAAATAATAGTTGTAAATATCTCTTTTTTAAAAATCGCCATTTTAGCGATAATTTTTTACTATCAAAAAAATACGCATGAAGGGTTTGGAGCAGGAAATATGATAAGCCACATATTTTCCTAAGTTGATATTTTTACAAGCAATTACCAGTTTTACAACAAATACCATTTTTTTCCTTTTCCTGAGTATTATTACCATGTAGATGCTCTACAAATTTGCTGAATTTCCTCTAGATGGCAGCACAAAGCAAAAAAATACCATATTGCCTAAATACATGAAAATTCTTATGTGTTTCGCTAAAAACATTCTTTTGAATAATTTGAAAATATTGCTTAACTTAATACTGCCCAAATCTTTCTATTATGTATTTTTTTTATTCTGTATAAAGATCTGCATGTGAAAAATTAAAGCTTTTTAGAGTTTTCCTCTTGATTTGGCATATTGCGTTACCGAATTGTCTTTAGTGATGCTAAATTATTTGCAGCCGCAT